TTACAGAAATTCGAAGTGTGAAAGCTACAGAGATCACGACTATCGGTCATATGCAATTCGTAGAAGGATTAGTAATGCCGAAATTTCTAAAAAAAATTCTACTGTGAAGGTGTTCACGACTACGATTTTGCTATGTTGCAGAAATGAGTCTCAGACTCCTTCCGGTTTTATAGGTCGGAAGCATATTCAAGACCTGGAAATCCGATTTGCACACGATTTGTGGCCAGCTCAGTGAAAACATTAAATATCTACGCTGACCACTCTTGTAGCGTAAGATATTCAACATTATACTTCAACAATTTTGAATGGAATATTGTGCATAAATATTGTATACCTTATGTCAACAGTGAAGCCATGAATCATTTTTACATATCCCTGCAGATCAGCAAGAATGGGAATAATTCAGGGCGGCCTACTAGAAACGCAACAAGGCTGTTCAATGATCCACATCGGTCGAAATTACAAGAATGACGGACCTATGTACACAGAATCCGGGAGCTGTTAAACTGGCAAACTCGAAAAAGCTAAGTGGACACGAAATCCGTAGACGTCGCCAATTAGTGGCGTACCTGATGGCGCGAACGACGTCCGACGCGCACTGTCATGTCGCCATTTATCAGAGCGAAGCGTCCGAACAAAAGGGTCCTTAGGGGAGGCCCGTCTGGGAATGCCGACTCAGGAAGTTCACGAGTCTTAGTCAGGCATACAAACAAGTGATCGATTCATGCAATACTAAACTAATGCCCTATGCTGCCCTCCAAATTTAAATTCACGGTTCAGAGAGCTTAAGCGGTATCATTATTGGATAGAATATACATCTTAAGGTTTGAACAACAAGAGCTGATGCACTCAGTGAGGAGATTACAAGCAGAACTTTTATGCCAAGTATGGTGACAATATTGTCCTTCCGTTAGTTGTATCGGCTCCTAATCACCTGAAGCGTTTTTTGGAGCGGCATGCATGGCGCAATCCCATCGCAGCCATTTGCGATTTCTTGAAGGTTATACCTACTGCATTTACGTGTTATCATTTATTTCGCAGGGTGAACGCAAACGCTCAAAGATGATTTTCTAACATTCAGTAGTTCGAACAATACAAAATCTGAAATCCTTTAAGCAAGTAGGATTCTTCAAGAATCGATCCTTCAGAAGTGAGCCCTTCATTATTCCAGAAGCGATAAATACACGAAGGCCGTAAGAACGAAAATAGGAGAAATCTTTTTTTTTACAACATAATTTCGAACAGACAGAATCATATAATTGAGAAATCAATGTGAATGCATCATTCTCTCAAGAAGATCACTAAAACTAAATTCATTTAAGAAAAACGGGAAATGCTCCCATGACCTGCCACCAAGCCGAGCACCTTCCGAAAGGGTCAAACCACGCCGGCGGGTGGGATGCGTAACACTAATGGGCGGGGCTGACCAGCCAACCAGCCAGCCGTGTATACTGGTCGAGTCAATAGAAATACCGGAGAAAAGCCACTGCCGGCTCTCGACCCGAATTTGATTAGAAAGCATCGGTCGTTGTCGTCGAGATAATCTCATTACAATGGCTCTGCCGCTGTTGGTCTGGCAACATTCTTCCCAAATGAGCTGCCGAAGGACTAAAAGAGGTTATCGTGTAATTAGGAGTGCATTCCAACTATAGGCTCAAATAGAAATTGAGCACTATAGCCGTTCCGCAAAGGATCCCCAAGGGCTGGTTTGGGAGGAGCCCTGCGCTGGAAATCGTAATAGTTCGGACGATTCTACAAAGGTTCATGCTTCTCTGCGCAAAAGTATTGAAGCTATGAAGCTAAGTCATGGGAATAAGATTTTGCTGCACATTGCTTGGGTACGAGTGCTGAAGGATTCGCCCGTTTTGAAGAGGAAGGGGACTACCGAACTAATGGTAAGGACACATTTCCTAGGTCAATCCTTTCGATACCAACGCACAGTACCTCTTTCTGTTTTGATGTCCTTTGTGCGCAAAAGCATTGAAACTTTGGCCCAGTTCTTGCACGGCTTCGGATTGAGCTTCTGACTCAACCCGTCCCTTCTTACGCCAGACAAACACACAACACATTTTTATCCCTTCAAAATTCGTCAATTTTCAC